TGGTACAAGTCTAATTCTGAATATTATATTATTAAAATCACTTATCAGAGATATAGTAATATTATGTTAAGTTCAGTTCTTTGGAGAAATAAATTAATTTCTTATTATTAACACTTTTGGAACACGGGACCAATGTAAAGTGCTTGTAAATCTTCAACACTTATTCCGGTGTTTTCGTCGAAACAGTTGCAGAAATAAACTTACACCATAAAGTCTACGCGTACCCCAGAGGTTATGGTTTCGACCATAGACTGACGTCCACACTCACGTTTTAAACTAGTTGTAGACACACATTAGGAAATGTTTATGGTTTGGATCATAATCTGTGGTCTATAACTAAAGTCTGTGCAGATAATAAACTGTTATTAGTGTCCACTTCGAAACTAGTACTGATGCATCAATTATTATGATATAGTCTGTGATTAATCGAATAATTATATTTTTGTACATTCCTGAGCTACGGGTACACATAGCGAACGTAAACTGTGTAATCACTTCTATTACTAGACTAGATAAACGTCAAATTATGTAGAAAGTAATTTTATAAAACTGTTTTATCCTATACTATACTAAGTACCTACACGAGCGGCTATGATTGTGTTGATCAAATATCAATTTTATTTACAACAGTTAAAGGTTTTATTTTGTTTACCCCAATGCTTATTTCAGTATTATAATCAAATAGACGAATATTATTAATTTAAATATTTAGTAGTATTATGATCACAAATCAATGAATTTAATGAATAATCATAATTTAAGACATTAGTTGAGTGAGCGCTTGAGGCTATCAGTTATGCTAGGAGCTTTATTAACAAAACAAAGATATATAATAAATATTATTACGTTATATCTAATACTTAGTATAATGCCTTATGAGAATCCTTGCAATAATTACTTATAAAGTGCATTTTGAAGCAGATTGAAATCACCCTTATGACTTTAATAATAGTGTTTATATTTAAGTGGTGGTGAATATTTGATTGAGTTAGTTACCAGGGTGGATCTGCGCGTTCTATCTATCTATGAGCCTAGCAACTAGTCATGTAGAGTATGTATCTTGTAGTATCAGTGTTGAATCATTTCGTTCGTTTTCGAGGTGTTTCTATACTTCATTGTGATAACCTCTTTATGGCATAAAAATATGAAATCATTGAATGAATGTAAGATTCCATTGTTTCATGGCTAAATAATATAAAAATGTTTTTGAATGTTTTTGTCATACGCGGCATTATCGTTAATGCTTTATGTTCCAATATTATACGGATTTTTTATTATAGTTCTTTTATCTCACGAGCGCGGGTGAGCCACAGTTATAATTGTAGGGAGTAAAGTCACGCGCGCTTATGTACGTAACTCGCAGCAAGTTCATCCAATGGTCGCCGGCCAAATCTGGGCGTTCCCGAGCGTACGCATACGGCGCGCCCGCGCTCGTAAGATAAAACAACTATAACCAACATTCATTTCCATTAAATGAAACTGTTGTTTTGTATTATTTTTTACCGAATTTAATTATAATTGTGTTTCATATCTAAAAATATTGAAATTTATGAGATTTTTAATTAATTTAAATCAATTTTGTGTTCTCAATATTACTTTGTATCAAACTTTGTACTGTATAAATAAGATTTTAGGGTGTTTTATTATTTTCATTAGAATTTTATTTCAATAGGAATGAAATGTTTATTAATAAAAAATATAATACTGATATATTATGTTGTTTTATTTATATAGGTCTGATACCTGACTACTGTAAAATTTACATAGCAGTTTTGTGGCTCCTTGTCTCTTTATCCTGGCAGAGTCGCCATGTAAGGTACGGATAGTGTTAGGAATCAAGCACGATGAATACAAAAAAAAAAAGTTTATTAATCTAAATGATGAATAATTACATATTATGGGGACCTGACATCAGTGGGTCTTTCAGTAACCTACTTATAAACTCCTCTGGTGTTGCGGGTGTCCATGTGCGGTGCCGATGGTTTACCATGCTCATTTGCCTGTCCCCTAAATATTGTATTAAGGAATAGCAAGGTCTGTTTGAATAATCAATTATTTCTCTTCATTGTAAGGATAAATACATTTGATAATGTTTGCCACTCGCGAACCACACGCACAGACAAGCTAGAAACAAACACAAAGGTATGTAACTGAAGCACGTGACCCTCAATTGTACCGGTAGCCACACGTAAGTGTCGCGTACCGTCGCGGAGAACCTAACGGGTAACCGGGGCTCCGGCTCGACGTGCAGGAGAAGGAACAGGGTGGTGTTTAGTCAGTAAGAGTCTGACACTCCCTTCTGCCTCACCCAGGCGGGAGCAGTCATTCGATGATATTCCCCCCTTAAAAAAAAAAAATAAAGTGTCGCGTACCCCTATACTTACTCTTTGGTGTAGGGCTGAAGAAAAATGCAAGGATAGTTGATATGTATTGTAGGTCACTGGTATGATCACTGGTAGGTGATATGTATGTATGTAGTAATGCTAGTTTCGTGGGATAAAGAGTAAAGTAGCCAAAATGTTATTCCAGATCGTTATCTACCCTGTGCCTTTAGCCAAACGCCACTTTAGCGCTTGTCTACAGAGAGAGTAGAAATCAAAATGTATGGGGATGTCACTGACAAGTATCAAAATTTACGTCAATTCCATAATAATTTAGTTTTCTACTCTACAAGTAGACAAGCGCTAAATGGCATTTGGCTACAGCTGCTGTTCCTAATTTCAACCCGATCCCTTCAGCCGGTTGTGACGTGATTGAGTATCAAACTGCCTCATTGGCCGAGTAGCCGCAAGTGCGACTGCCGGTCAAGGGGTCTCGGGTTCGATTCCCGGGTCGGGCAAAGTATTAATGGATTTTTCAAAAAATTCACAGTAGTAGCACGTAGTCTGGAAATGTGCCCGGTATATGGCAATAGGCTCACCCCCTATTACATGGGAGTCGTAACATAAATAGTGAAAAGGGGTGTTACATTTTACAGTGGCGTAATGTACACCTCTGCGAACCCACTCGGGGATAAAAGGCGTGATGTTATGTTATGTTATGAGTATCAAACATACACACACACACACACAAATATACACACAGTCATACATGTCGATATTTTTGTTATAAAAAGATAAGACTTGTTTATATGAAATGGTCATTACTTACGGTTAGTACATCCCTTCTTGATATCCGTTTCACTGTGCTGGCTCCACTACTCGTAGAAGAATTACTGTGTTATGTACTACTACTAGGTATTTGCTGTTGAGACAGGTACTTATAAGAAACTCTGACCTTTTGTCAATTATGTTAATATTTACATGTAGTTTTTTATACTTGATAGGTCTACGTTTGGCCACCATCTCGCCTGATGGTAAGCGATGATGTGGCAGATGATGGAGCACGCCTACCTATGCGCAACCTGTTCATTCGGAACTTAAAGACACCCAAGTCATATTTGACGGGAAACACAGATTCTGGCAACGAATTCCATTCCTTTGCGGTTCGCATAAGGAAGCTTAACGCAAAACGCTTCGTGCGAATGGGTGGAATGCCCATCATATAAGGGTGGCGCCCTGCCGTTCGTCTGGTGGTACGGTGGTGAAACGGACTTCGGGGAATAAGGTTGTGCAATTCCCACGCACACTCACCGAAATGTATCCGGTAGAAGACCGAAAGCCTTGCGACTTTACGCCTGTGTTCGAGACTTTGAAGCAGAGCCTCCACAAGGTCCTCTCGATGTATTCAAAGTTAGGACGAAACTATTACTACGTATACACCGCGCACAGTTACTGACTGTTGGTGCTGTGTAAAAATCCATTGAATGCTTAGTCCTACCCAAGATCGAACCTAAGTCCATCGGAACGCACAGAATTTTCCTCCAGTATGCTCCTTTGTTGGTGAAGTGGTTGTTTTAGCAGAGCCGAGACATCGCGTTATGTATGGCTCCCGGGCCAAAAAAGAATTTTACCCATTTTCAACGTGTGTTATCAATACTAAAACAAAGAGTCTGCGTTCTGTGTCCTGGTTATGGTGATATACTCATTCCTATTATATGGGACCCATAAGGACTTTGACTTTGACTTTTTAACTAATGAAATAAGTTATTACGTTCAGGACATAATATGCATCTCTACTCCACCGTATAGGAATTAACAGGCGTGATATTATTCTATGTTATAGAATATAGATGTTTACTCTCATTCTTATGAAGTTTTGGTCCTAACTGTTGCGTATTTAAGCGTTTTAATCCTACGTAATAGTTTGGTTGGCTCCAGGAATCGCAAGATTTTTTACATGTTTGTGAGCTCCTTATTTCCATTCTCCGGTGAGCTGGCTAAAAGACTATAAGTTGTCATACTAAGAAATAAAGTACAGATCATTCTCTTTGAAATGAAGGGTACAGGGTGACATGTTGAAGCTGAAGATTCGAGACGCTCATTCAGTTCAAGTGTGACCGTCACAGAAATAAGGAAGCGTGTGCGGGCAGGGCGGGCGGCATGTATTCATCATAGGAAAGGTCACTTTAAACAAAATTTTATAAAAATAGACATAACATAACATAACATCACGCCTTTTTATTCCCGAAGGGGTAGGCAGAGGTGCATATTTCGGCACTTAATGCCACTGTACAATGTAACACCCACTTTTCACTATTTATATTATAAGTCCCATAAATAATGATGTTTTTGAAATTTGATAATTAGTGCTACAATAATTTGAAAATCGACGGTTGGTGCGGTGTTTGGGCAACTGGATGCCACGCTACAGGTCGCGGGTTCGATTCCCGCACGGAGCAACTCTTTGTGTGATCTACACATTGTTGTTCCGGGTCTGGTTATCATGTGTATGTGAACTAATATTTTTGTAATACTAATACACAGGAGAAACTCCTAGTGTGGGGCATTTTTTAAAAAGAAAGAAAAAAAATGTACAAAACTAAAACGAACCATATTTTTCATAATTATAATAATTTTATTGCTTAAAATAAATATACTAGTCAGTACGTCATACATTCTTTAGTACTTATACTTTGTATGCTTGCTATGTTTGCGGTGGTGATGCGAGGGGGGCGTGGCCGGGGAGCGGCGCCGCCTATCTCTATCTCTGTCCCGTTCTCGTTCCCTATCTCTGTCACGCTCCCTCTCTCGAGAACGGTCGCGATCCCTGTCCCGGTCGCGAGATCTTGAACGTGATCTTGACTTGCGTTCACTGTAAATAAAAATTAATTAATTTTTAAACAATTCTTATATAAGCGTAAGCAGGTTTCCCATAATATCCGTGTTTAGAAGACGGGTTGGACATCTCCAAACAGCTTATATTTGACTACTGGGATATAACAAATTATTATCATCCAAAACAGTAACTATAGTCGTATTTTTAATTAGACGAAGTCGACTGACGTTTGCTGTGTTGTCAGTTTTTGATGAAATAAAAATAGTGTTGCGAAAAAGTGAATGATTGAAAAAGCAACTAAATGAATGAAATTGTCTCGATCGTCTAGTGAATTAATTGAAGTAGTTGAAACTACAGATGAGTAAAATATAAAAAAATTAGGTAGTTATGGATAATAAAAACAACGCTAATAACATCATTTGATTTTAATCATCATCAGATAAAAAATCATCGCTATCACTTTCGGTGACATTAATAATAAAGTTGTCTGACACATTGTCAATCATGTGGTCAAGGCCATACATTTTGTCTTCTTCTTTAATAACGTGAGACACGCAACTACTCCATTTTTCTGCTGTGATGAGTTGAAGTCCTTCTTCAAACAGTTTTTTAACTTCTGGCATTTTAAAAGTTTTGTTATTTCTTGCCACATGTCCTTTGGCCTGCGCCCATACCAACTCAATAGGGTTAAGCTCACAGTGGTATGGGGGCAGACGTAAAACCGTAATTCCATGGTGTGCTGCCATCTCGTCCACAACAAACTTTTCAGAATGTTGGTGTTTGTGCTGTCGTACAATGTCTATAAGAGTAGCTTTGATCATTGTTGCTTCGAATGCGATATTTTTGCTTGTTAGCCACTCTTGTATTCTGGATTTAGTCCAAGACATTGTAGGCAGCGATTCCAGTTTCCTGGAGTGGTACGGGGCATTATCCATCACTACCACGGAATTTGGTTTGAGTTTTGGCAAGACCTCTCTGAACCACTTTTCGAAGGAATCGGCATTCATCTCTTGATGATAATCTTCTTTGTTTTTTGTGGCTTCAAATATTAATAGGCTGTCTTCTACGAACCCTTCTTCCCCGCCTATATGTCCGATAATTAAGCGTTTGCCCTTTCCTGAAGGTTGTTTTAAGCCAGTGGTCAAGCCATCGAGGAAGGCCTGGCGGGAGGTTAGCACTGTTTGGTCAATCCATACCTTCTTCGGGGCATGACCTTAAAAATAGAGAAAAATATCAATTAATTATTGAAAGTAGAGGGACCTTCTAAACACATGCCTGTAAATGTATGTACACGTTTATCTAAGTGGTTTGTCATGTTTGTTTGTAATTATTCCTAATTTATATTATTGTCACACAATCAGAATTTACAGTCTTATAAGAAACGCATGTAATCTGTGTTAAATACAGCGTCGGTAACGAATTGTAAGAACTTTTATCTGTGGCCACAAAACCTACAGAAAGTAAAATTTAAAATGAAGAAAACAAAATTGTAATTACCTTCGTTGATCCAGGTCTCATCTTGGTAATAAATATACCTTCCTTCTCTTCTATACTGTTTTATTTCTCGAAGGTATCGCTGGCGCCATAGAATAATATCCTGTCTGTCAATAAGAATGCTTTTTCTTGTCTTTGAAACGTATTTGAAATTCAAATGTTTCATAACATTTCTTAGTGTACTCCATGAAAAAGTCGGTAAATCTGGGTCTTCATTGACAACTTTAAGGATCTGTAAAGTAATAAAAATGTTTTTGAGTAAGGAAATCTATGCAATCTAATACTTTGGTTTTACAAAGAACATTATGGTGGACACAGAATATAATGCAGTAGACGGAATAAAGTTTATGTTACCTTTGCAATGGTGGGTGGCTCATTTGCATAAAAAAACTGATGAACTTTTCGCCTTATGGCAGTAAAAGTAAAATCATCTAATTTGTCTTTGAAATTGTATTTCGGTCCACGTTTCTCGGGTGATTTAAATTGTTCATTTTCTTTGTATTCTTTTAATACACTGTAAACCGAGGTCACACCAATTCCCAAAATGTCAGCTGTTTTCGAAACACATTCCTGTTTTTCGGGGGTTTCAAAAGGTAATAGAGAAGCAGCTTTCTCCTCAAATACGTGTTTATACACGTTCTGTACCATGAGCTTTTCGGTAACGCTTAACGAAACCCGTGGTCTCTTCCTTCTCGGAGACAAGCTTTGACTTGACGTGCTTGGTTGAGGATCCATATTGTTTAAAGGAAACAATGAACCACAATAACCGCAAACACAACGAAACAAAAAACTTAACAAAACAACGTGAGCGCAGAAATAACAAAGTACGTGCTTTCAGACCAGAGGTTAGAAGCCGAATAACAATCAAAATGGCGACCGACGCGCGCGACGTCGATCGGTGTTGTCAGTACTCGCCGCGCCGCGCTTTACAATAAACTATCAAATATTGATACAATTTTATTAGAAATAGAAATAATATTCATTTATGTTTTGGAATGATTAAAATTATGAACTATTCACATTCATTGTTCATTCATTTGATTGAACGAGAACTGTAGCCATCACTATTACTTTAAATATGGCCACATTATTTTACAATTTGACATTAGCCATTGTCAGTTGACTTCGTCTAATTAAAAATACGACTATAGCTTGGTATATTCGTGGAGTAGGGAATCAAATAGTTACCTGTATCGTGATCGTTTGGGCGGAGGCGACAATGAAGGCTCGCGGGACTTCTTAGATTTCTTAGACGATGTCCTGTAAGTAAAAATATATCATTAGCTATTCGCTAAGGAAAATGAAACCTTACACACTCCTAATTAAAGTTAACAACCGACCGATATTGAGACAGTTTGACTTTTATACAAGCTTTTTTAAACCTAATTGTCGCGAGTGTTTGCCCGGTGTTTCTAATGCAGTGAAAATGCTATCGATTAACTGCCAATTTCAATAAACTATCTTAATCCAAAATCTGTCTGATCGATTTTTGGCAGTAGTTGTATGAAGTTTCTGTCAAAAATCAATCTTAATCCACACATTTTGGATTGAGATATGTTATAAAAATTGGCAGTTAGAAGTTACGTGCATACAAAAACATATACGATTCTTAATTTATAATTCAAAAAGTTTATTTGCTTTTAAAAAGTAGTACATTTTCAATAAACCATTTATTCGCCTTGCATTGGACTGTGGGCCTCCTCTATAAGATCATCTATCATAAGATGATTTTCCACAACCTCTCCGCTTGACAGACGTGTTGGAGATTAGAGTTTAAAAGATTCAGGTTATTCAGAGAAGGTTGTATGATTTCTAATAGGGTAGTAGACAGTGTTAAAAAAGTAATTAGTCCGTCAGTTACATAATGAAAAAATTTTAGACATATATTTTTATATTTTGTTGTATATAAAAACAATAGTTAGATAAAATGGAGTTAAGTTTAGGAGTGGGAGGTCGTTACGTCATGCTACCCTACGAAATGTAGTAAATCATGACGTCACACGATATTTCAAATCAATATAATTATCTAAAAATCACGGGTTACTCACGTGAATGTACTGAGAAAAGCTCTACTAGTTTCGAACCACAGAGGGGTTCTTCCTCATGAGCAGCGTGCGCGGCGAACCTTACATTTGAGAGCTTTTCTCAGTATATTCACGTGAGTAGCCCGTGATTTTTAGTTAATGTAGTATGTTTCACGATAGTTATTATAAAAACGAATCAATATATCGTCGAAAGTATTTGATTTTGTAAGAAAAGACAAAATACGTGTCTAAGATTTTAAAATAATCTACCAGACGGACATTACAATAAAATTTAGTATACTACCCTATTAAATCTTTAGTTCGTTAGTCGGCTTTTACGACATCCGCGGGTTAAAGTTGGGGTGATGAACGTATTTTGCTCCACACTTCACTTGGTAACAAACAATGCGAACGTAGTCAAGGGGAAACGTAGTCTACAATCTTGTATTAGGAAATTCCATGTTTCATTATATCGCACGTTGGTTCTGGATACGTAAAAATGGACGTTTAATATTATTGTTTATGCAGTTTATGTATATCAAATATCACCTCTCCGAAGCGAGCGTGGCTGCGGATCTTGAGGTCTTGGGTGTGAGCCCCGAGTCAGGCAAAGCATGTTGGGTTTTTCTGTTAGAAAATTGTTATTCATATTATGTATTACTTTTACGGACACCCTTTTATATATCTTATTCTCTGTGTAAATGCGTTAGATGTGGATAGCGTGAGCCAATGTAGTATCACACCTATATTGATTCCCAGAATGGAAATTGCGGTCGCTTCAAGAGCAGATTGCTGTAATCTACCATACATTTAAAATATAGGAAACCCAATACTACTTCACCCGACGAGAGTGTATTATCCGAAAGTCATTAGATAATGTTCTGCACTTTGAAATTCCATCATAAAGGTACTATTACACATGCTAATTTGAAGCACGAAAGCATGCTTCAATTGGGTACTTTCCTTAATCAAAAATAAATTATTTCGACTGTTCAATGCAATAAAATATTAAAAAACAATCACATTTTCGTTTATTGATTTTAAAGACCAACTATCCAGCTAATTTTTAAAAAATAAATACGCTGTTTAACGCTAAAGAAACGTGACGTCACAATACACAATCTCGTACAAAATTCATAGAAAGCTGTCGTTTTTGACAGTTCGAAAAAAGTATTAAATTTGACTAGATGGCAAGTACCCAATTGAGCACTTGTCACTTATGCTGAAATACTCAAACGCTGCTCAACTTTATGTCACGCTGAAGTATAGTTCTGTCACTACAAATTCTTAGTAAAATGACAGAGATGGCACGATATTTAAGTACGACTTATAATTGAGTAGCTTTTCAGTATTCGGGCGTTAGTAGCATGTGTGTTGGTCCAATAGCAACATTCCGACGTACACATGCTTATATGCATACAGCATGCTTCTAATCAATTTTAGCTTCAATCATTTGCTAGAGAATAGACAGGCGTTCGATTTTTTAACATTTTTGAGCATGCTCAATACAACGCCTTTTAGCATGTATATCAGTAACTAGTATTATTTACATAAGACGTCTAACACATCGTTGCTAGGTAACGCTCCTTCTGTGGACTCGAATGAACATTAGTCAGCCAAGTCCTTTAATATGCGGGTAAGAAAACACTAACTAGGTATTGTTATAATATATTGTATGCTTTTTTTTATAAAACCAATATGAACTGTCTCTGTACTGATTTAGTGTTCATTTTCTTACCAGCAAACTAAATATAACCTAAAGTTATTCATGTTATTTACAAGTACATAATATTATTATATTAGGTACATCAGTACGTACGTGGAGTATGTGTCGTCCTCGACGGGTGACCTCCGCCTCGGTTCTGGTGACTCTCTCACTTCCTCCACTGACTCTTTAGCTTCTCTCGACGCCTGGAATTGTCAATAATACTATTTGCTTGCAATTTGTTATGTAAATCTCGACCTATGCCACCGGAGTCGCTAGTTCAGTAATACTAAGATATGTTAGTTTATATAGTACTGACCTTCTTGATAAGTTTCCTCCTGTAATGCTGTATCTGCTGTGCAGCAGTGAGTCCAGGTCTCCGTCCCCGGACGCCTGCCTCGAGCTCGTCCGCGTACTTCAATACTCGGACCTCGATCTCACGGAGAGTCTCACGCTTCAGAGCCTGCTCCTCGCTACGATAGTAAGAAGGGAATATTACAGTTGAGACCTATTCGTTTCACAGTTAGATAGACTGATGCACTCTTGACGTTTCTAAGATGATTGTATAAGGATTGATTGCTCTGATTTTCATTAGTTACGAATTTAGTTGCAAGCACTACCTACACATTTTAATGGTTGTAAATTGTACAGACGCTATTTAAAATACATATATTTTAATATATATTGTTTATTTTCACTTTAATCATGTTTCACTTTAGTGCAAATTGATAAAGTTGAAATTTCTAGACCCGAAGATGATAGGTATTATTTAGTGTTTTTCTAAATTTCGGAGAAAAATTGTGCATAAAATAAAAAAATAAAGGTCACACTTCACAGTTGCGTAGCTTGACGACACGTACTATAACACAATGTTGATTAGCACACACAAAACGATTTGGCGTTAACAATAAAGTATTGATATTAATAGTCGTTAAGTATGTTGATCCCTTGTAGCTGAAATAATGATGACGTAGAGTATATCATACCTGTCATGTTGTTGCTGCGACACGGGTGTAGTGGGTGCCTGTGTATCGTCGTCGCTATGAGGCCCCCTAGTGTCCGCGTCCCTGGCAGTAGTGTCGTCGTGTGTGTCAGTGTCGACGGTCTCCCACCGCGAGGGGACGAACGTCCCGCCAGCTCGCGAGCGACTCACGTCGGACTCCAGTGGAACTCCGTCTATGTCCTCGTCCACTGGAGGACAAGTATAGTGGTATATAGTAAAGATCAAGAGAAGTTGTGATTTAATTAAAATTATAGTATATTAAGGAATGATGATTCAACTAAAGACAATATATGATCTGGAGTCCTGAACCGGTAGGATAGAAACTAAAAGAAGAAAAAAATATATTAGAGTAGGTAGTAATAGTAATTTCTGAAAATCTACAATAAACAAATCATTAGCCTTATGCATTGTTAATAGTTAGGCATCTTAGTAACTCATTACTGATTGTCATCAATGTTTTCATTGAATCATTTAACAGCAATCAGTAGAATTGTTAACATTTCTTTTAATAACAATTTATTTATTCTTAAGCACTTAATACATTAACATTAGATTAAAGATAGTGATGTCATTAATTTTTGTTAAAAATTTTAATAGTTCACCTAGGTACTCGAAAGAAATGTTCTGAATTGTACATGAGCGACGCTGTATACAGAAAATGAAAGTATGTCATACCGGGAACTCCGTCGATATCGTCGTTGAGTTGCGTGGCGTGGTGCCGCGCGAGGTGCCGCGGCGCGAGTGCGGGCGCGGCGGCGGCCCGCTCGGCGGCCAGGCGGCGCAGCGCGGCGCCGTCCAGCGGCCCGCCCGCCGGAGTGTCCCACGACTCCTCCGACGCAGACGACCGCGCGGGGGACGCGCCCTCCTCCGAGCCCGCGCCTTCTTCCTGCTCATTGCCCATGCCAGGGACTATGTCTGTTTCCTGGCAACGAATATGTTGTGTTGTACTTTATTGACACAAAAAAAATATTTTGGCTTTCCTTTACTATGCCTGTTAATCAATTAAAATATCTAGACTTTCATTTTGAATTATTCCCAGTAAAATGTCTTAATTATAATTTTGTTGATTTTGAAAATAAGACACGGTTAAAACAAGATTAAATCCTGAAACAAAAGATATGAACTATTAAAACTATGTGTTACCTTATCCTGTCCTAAAAAGACATCATTAATATGCAGGAGGAAGTCAGTAGGGTACACAGCCCAGTCAGCCCAGGCCTGCAGTATGCGCGTCACTCTCGCACGGAACCCTTCCTGCTGCAGGCGTGACGTCATACGTGTCCACGCCAAGTGACAGTTGCGCATTATCTCTGTTAAACGCTGTTGGAACCTGGACAGTGTGAATGAAGTCATGAATAGAGAGATGATAGGATGTACGAACTACATGGAATATGCACGAAATGGGAAATATACAGTAAACATTTTATACTAAACTAGCTTCTGAATGCGACTTCGTACGCGCAATCCCGATATTTCCCGTTCCTGTTCTTGATTTTCGGTAAAAAGTAAAAAAAAAGAATTGGGTAAAAAGTATCCTATGTCCGTCTCCTGGTTTTAAGCTAGTCCCACCAATTTTCATCCAAATCGATTTAGCCATTCTTGAGTTATAAATAGTGTAACTAACACGACTTTCTTTTATATATATAGATTTATTAGGTTGTATAACAATTCGGGAAGAAAAGAACTGTTCGATGAGGTGCGTACTTTACTGACGGTCGATAAAATTTTGTTATTCTAGGTCGTGTGTAAGTGATGCTGACTGCGAATGAGACGCATCCTGTTTATAATTATGGGCCCCTGGAGGGGCTTGAAACTAACTTGTAGCTTGAGTAACCTCGTTATACTGTTACGTTAATAACTTGTACAACCTAGATAATGTAGGGAGATTTTTGTGTAATGAATATTTATTTGTATTTAACGGTAAATGTATAGTAGACTTAGTAGTCGTAGGCATAGGTATGGAAGTGAATACTGACGCGCTACGATAAGCGCTGGCGTTGGTGAGCTTGGCGCCGGCGTTGTGCAGTATGTCGGAGAGCAGATAGAGGCGCGCGACCCGCTTGGCGGGCGCGGTGCGCGCGCCGCCCAGCGCCTCGCCCAGCACGCGCGCCACCTCGCCCGCCGCCTCCGCGTGCTCCAGGCACCACGCCATGGCCGCGCCCACGCTCGCGCGCGACGGCGACAGCCCGCGGATCAACTCCTCCAGTCTGTCGCGCTGGCTGCAATACAATAGAAACGGAATGGTTTTTAGTCAGTATGAGACACTCCCTCTCGCTTCACACAAAGCGGGAGAAGTCATCGGATGATATTCCCCCTCAAAAAAGAAAGAAAATAGCTGCTGACAAAAACATGTGTGGATTACACTGTGGAGTTAAGATTTTTGTTATGTTCAGTTATGGAAAGAAACTTCGATGAGATAATATCTAGAAGTATATTAATAGGATAAAACAAAATTCACTAGGTATTTATAACTTAATACAAGAATATGTTACTAACTTGTTAGATAGAGTCCCTCGTATGTTCTCCTTGGCCTCGTCCTCCTCGACCAGTTCGTCAGGCATGCCCGCAGTGTACAGATTCATCACGGGCGGCCGCCATACTGACCCTCCTGTAAAAGTAAATATATATAATGTAAACTAGTCAACTCGTTGGAACATAACATCCACAAATTGTTGTTTCGGGTCTGGGTGTCATTGTGTATGTGAACTTGTATGTTTGTAAACGCACCCACGACACAGGAGAAAATCCTAGTGTGGGGCAACGTTTTTTTAAAAAGAAAGAAAGATAGCACAACTCATTTACATCAAGTTGGAAAATCCTCATGGATCCCCCTCGCTTAGGAAGGATGAAGAGGACGATAAAACAACATACGAGGTGGTTTTAGTTAGTAAGACACTGACACTCCCTCTCGTCTTACCCAAAGCGGGAGCCTTGACGCCGTTGCTTGGTAAGGCGAGAGAAGTCATCGGTCGATTAGCCCTCAAAAAAAAGGGCACGGGAGATTGCTCCCGCGAGATAAATCTAGCGATAGGAAATAGACACTGTGACTGTTTGACAATGTAACTCCACTAGTTTCCTTAGGCTACGTTTGTCACGTAACGTCTACGACTATGAGTCCCTGGGATGGCTTGAACTTGAAACTAGTCGAGTTTAACCTAGATGACCAGTTACGTAAAAACATTATCTTAATTTAGCATATTTAACAACACAAGAGTTACAACATAAATAATATTAGATGTAGATATTGGAAGTAAAAATGATACCTTTAAACATCCTAAAGTCTTCAAGCGACCATTGTTTGGGCGAGTCTCCCTGCAGCATAGAGAACAGCTTCCACCTGTAGTAGATATGCGCGGGCGACTGGTTCTCGAACAGGAACCGGAAGAATGGGTTGTTTATTTCTTTATTCATTATAATGGCCTCGAACATCGGACCTTCGCGGATCACAAACTCCACCATACGATGGATTAGCATCAGTATGTTTCTGGAAATAATAAAAATGTAGTTTATTTCTGAACTGATACATTTGATACAAATTACACCTTATTCTGAAGGCACTAAAAGCTAATTTGGAATGAGAATTAATAAATTAGAGACTAAATGCACTTACCTTTCCGTAGGAACAACTACTTTGACTATTGACTGTGATAAAATCTGCAAAAAATATATTAATATTAGTCTTTAACACTAGACATGTAACACAACTCCCATCTCTTTGCGTTTTATTTCAAAAAGCGAGAATACTCCTTAGTATATTAATTACATTATTACTATTGTTTTCTAATCATAATTGAAAATACTGATAAAAATATAGAATAGAATTGACATTGGCCAGCTTTTAGTATAAAAAGATTGTCAAATATTCAAACTTATTCCTCAGATAAAATTTGACAGGCGTTGGAAAAATAGACCTTTAGTAAACTAAGTATTTGAATATCGACAATCAGGTAGAGAAATAATAATTGAATGTACCTGTTCATAAGCTTTCCTATCATCTGGGTCGCTTGGATAATACTCGCCCTGTCGCACTCTAGGTATCTGAAAACAAACGAAACTGAACTTTATTTCTTTGTGTTAAAGAAGAATGTGACTGCACGGTTGGTGCGGTGGCTGGGCAACCGGCTGCCGTGCAACGTGTCGCGGGTTCGATTCCCGCACGGGACAACAATTTGTGTGATCCACAAATTGTTGTTTCGGGTCTGGGTGTCATTGTGTATGTGAACTTGTATGTTTGTAAACGCACCCACGACACAGGAGGAAATCCTAGAGTGGGGCAACGTTAAAAAAAAATGTATGTCATAATGAAACAAGTACATTTAGTATGTCATCATCAGAACAGTCCATTACAGTCCACTAGTAGACAATATACACATATTATATCTATATAAATAAAAATGAATTTCCGTTCGTTAGTCTCGCTAAAACTCTAGAACGGCTGAACCGATTTGGTTATTTTTGGTCTCAAATTATTCGTGGAAGTCCAGGGAAGGTTTAAAGGGTGAGAAAAGACTTTTGGCGGTACGAAGTTCGCCGGGTCAGCTAGTACTGTATAATGTTACCTTATTCAAGAGATGTTTGGGTGGTTGTGCGTTGAATGGTAGTCCGGAAGGCGGCGGCGGCTTGCTGGGCTGCTGGAGAGCTGGCGGGATGTATATTGGCACGGGGGGGATCACCACCGCCTTGCCCCAACCTAGCTTCATCTCGTAGTTCATTATTTCTTTACCTGTATATAAAAATAACGTAAACGTTATTGATGTCTTCTATTTATTTTATTTTAAAGTCTGACAGAAACCGTTTTTATCAAATATAATCACTATCAGTATATTGACGCAAATATTACACCTAATATTCGCCAGATATGTTATAAATCATATACCTTATATACAATAGATTATTTTGTCAGTACTTTCAATATAAAAGACGAAGCCACGAATCAAAATATTACTAAAATAATTTAGTATTTACAAAAAGTATCTTACCATTGATACACCTAAGCGCTCGCTCGCCATCCTTGCGCGACATGAAGGCTACGAACCCACAGTTGCGACCGCGGGCCTTCTCCTCATCAGACCGAGGCCACATGATCTTTATACTGGCCAGGGGACCGTAGCGACCGAATATCTCCATTAATTGCTGCTCCGTTATCTACAAAATAAAGTTTATTGTATGTACGTTTTTTAAATCAACATATATTAAAAGATTTTTTCCAAAACAGTGGTGATAATCATTCTTCAAAAAAATTATCGAAAATAAATCTTAGAAACAAGAAAAGCCTTTAGTTGGCAATAGTTTGTGCACCTGTGGTTTAGAAATGGAGGTATTTCTAAGATATATCTATTGTCTAACCACAACTCTTTTCTTTTACAATAGAAACTCATCAAAAGAGCTCTTAAATAGCTCTCAGTACTTAACTACTATCGACCGAAAAGTAGTGATTATAGTAAAAATAATCATTCACCTTAGGGTTCAAATTGCCGAGGTACAAGTTGGTAGTGTTGGGGTCTCCAGTGTCATATGACCCCACGTCCGGTATGATGTCGAGCGAGGGTTCCACCCCCACAACACCGCGCTCGCGCAATACATTCTTATACTTGTGTCGCTCCGATCTTTCTTCTTGTATCCTGTGAAATATTAACTTTGAATAATATTGTACATTGTATAATTTTTGTTGGTTTAAGTAGCTAATGATTCTAGTATAATAGATTAGAAACGAGTTAAGCAAGACGTCTCTATTTGTGTTATGGCGCATCACTACATAGTATAAAACAAAGTCGCTATCCGTCGTCTGTCTGTCCCTATGTATGTTTAGATCTTTAAAACTAAGCCACGGATTTTGATGCGGTTTTTTTAATAGCTAGAGTGACTCTTAAGGTTTGTATGTATAACACATGCACATAGCACCCGTGCGAAGCCGGGGCGGGTCGCTAGTAATAAATATAACCGAAATCAGAGCCTCATACCAAACGCCACTTTAGCGTTTGTCTACCTAAAGAGTAAAAAACTCAATGTATGGGGATGACACTAACAAGTGTCAAAATTTAAGTCAATCCCATACAATTTAGTTCTCTACTCTATTTACAGACAAGCGCTGTTATCAATGTAATTGACATATTATTTATATTTCTGTAGTATATAGATTACTACTCACTGTCTCAATTCCTCTTTGAACAACTCTAGGTTACTTTTCTTCTTGTCCTGTCCTTTCTTCTTGGCATGAGGCCGGCCTGGAGGCTCAGGCCTCTGTACTAGAGTGCGGACTGGGTCAATTTCTGGGATACTCCGTTTTTCATCTAAGCGAGATACTGGCTTGTACAATTTGCCTCTCTCGGAGGTATCTTCCTCTGCAAATAAAATGTTCAATTAATACTTAGTTTCTGTAATTTGTAGTCAACTATTGTAACTATGCTAAATTATCTGTCAGACTATCAGTCAGTTAACACGTTAACCGCCGCGTAGGTCACCGGTGACCTACGTTAGCGGAGGATTTGCCTTTAGCAGTTTTCTGTCGGCAGTCAAAGGCTTAATAAGACATTTTGTAACCAGTGAAACAAATAGTGAGACTCAGTAAATATAGCTGGGCCATTACAAACGTGTGACAATGCCGCACAACTCGCATAAGTGTGAGCGAGAGGATGATAATAAGGATGACATAATTATAACAGTTTGCAAGTTTATAATGGCCTGACTATAGTAAATTTCCAATAGCTAATTAAATATTGACCAGCCCATCTGGAAGTCACTGGAGGAGGCTATTGTTTAGCAGTGAATAATGAATATTGAAACATGCATGAAGTAAAATTAAAACAAAGCATAAAAATGTATACAAACTTCTTGCGCCCGCATCGTATGTGCCTGCTTTCACCCAGACTTTACTTGTGGTACTTGGAACCTCTTGAAATGTTTCCACAAACTCCTTGAATACCTGTTAAACAAATGGGAGAGGATCATCATCAACAACAGCATATAAATGCCCACTACCGAGCAGAGCCTCTTCTCACTCGAAGAAGGTTTGAACGCTTGCTTACACCACGCTTGCTTACAAACTTAAAATTAGAAATTTTAAGTCCAGGTCTCCTCACGATGTTGTCCTTCCCTGTTTGTCAGTGGTGTCTAGATAATTTTAGAAAGTACATATAACATGGAAAAAGTCACATTGGTAGTTTCTGTTTGTAAGTTTCAAACCCGCACCCTCATGCATGAGAAGCGGGTGTCTTAAGACTCTAAACCACCACAACAATGGGAGAGGATACCAAAATGATAAAACCTAAACCAGTTTTCTAAAACAACAGGCATTATGATTTATTTGCTTCAATTTAACTACCTACTCGAGCATGGTTGCACTTGGCCTGCTCACCTTCTATTGAGCATAGCTTGGTTATTTATAGCCTAAAGCCTACCTATTCAAAAGAATATGATTAGATTAGAGAACCAACATACAATTAAACAACAAAAAGAGAATTAGCAGTAAAGTAAGGCTAATTACGTGTCATCCTAGATTTTTTTTAAGTGTTGATCCTAAAATCATTTACAGGACGAACGAAATATTACAATAATTATCTATGTAGTATGTACATACTATTATATTGTGGAACATAATATAACTTGTATTTTTTAAACCTGGTATTTTGTAAAGTAACAATTTGGTAAAGTTATCTTTTACCATAACACCATTCTGTATTCTCTATCCCTTCAAAACACATAAAAAATTAACTACAAATGATTCAGAACTATGTTGTGCACAAAACTACAATTTTGTTCATATTATCTGCAGTTTATTTAGTTAATTCTGAAGAACTACATTAGCATTAAATTATGTTGTTTTAATTAAGTGTATTGGAGTAAAAAATGAAGTTTAGTTCTAAGCCTGTATTAGTATACTTCAGGAATTTACAAGTATCAATAATTATCAAAGACTACAAATACGTACATGAGCGGCCGCCTCTTCTTCTTCTTTCTTTTTAAGCTCCTCCAACTCCTTTTTAGAAAGCCCTCGAGAGCTCATGTTGACAATATTATAGTTTGTCGACAGCCGACATCCAAATCAAAATTTCAATTTACACATCTAAGTACAGTATTCATATAGTTCCGTAACACAAATACATTACATTTTATTATTAATAGATACTATACAATTGAATAAACTGCTGTTTTAAGTCGAATTGTTGCTTATTTTATCAATCTTTTAGAATAAAATAAAATAACATATCCTAACCTAACAACGTCAATGCTCAATGGCCACAGACTAAAATACTGGCTGTCAATATGTCATAGTGTTATACATTATACGTTTAGTCAACGCTAGCTATATAGTTAATGGATTACTTTTTTAAGCATTCCGTTCCCTATAAATGCTAAAGATAAACATATTAACTTACTTTTAAAATTAAAATTGTCCAAGGTTATATTTATTAATTTAGTATAAAAAACAATTTTTGTGTGTTGAACTTAGCGAGCAAAAAAAAACGCGGCAGTTTGGAAATATGTGCTGTACATACCTAACAAGTTTTCGGTGCCAGTGGTGAAATAAAAATGATAGGTACCTGACCTACAGCTTAAGAGAAGCTACGGCGTCCTCAATTCCTCATCTACCGCCTGACGCAGTTGCTTACCGGACACCGAAGTTTCAATACTTTCGGTAGGTTAATGCCTCAAGGAGCCGTCAGACCACCACAGATGGGGCCCAATAGGGCTGATACGGATACGGGGCCGTGGAGAGTTTAACGGGTTACCAGGACTCGGGTTCGAAGCGCAGAAGTAGGAACGATGTGGGTTTTAATCAGTAAGAACCTGAAACTCTCTCTCACCTAACCCAGGCGGGAGAAGTCAGTGGATGATTAACAAAAAGGTAGGTATACCAAACAAAAGAATGTAACGTCTAATAACGTCTAGTAGGTACCTAACAAAGAGTATAATAAGTATAGGGGTAGTACCTAACCAATCCAACGCCACACGTATCGCAAGGACGGTGAAAATAAAGGGTATGGTATAAAAATCGATTACATATCTCAATTCTGCGTATTGTTTCTGTCAGAAAGTAAGTATGTAATGTATTAGTTCCTTTTCATATGTTGCGGTCACCGCGTCAGGTCGTTTGGTACGGATACACTACATGTTAACTTTCACACGTACTTTTTTACCTGCACGTTCTAACGCCCATTATTCGGTGTAAGGTACAAAAAATTGTTCATCATCATCATATCTGCCCAGGTTATTTTAAAGCTGGGTCTCCCCCTTTTTCTGCCATAGCTACTTATTTTTGGCAATGGGAAAATACTATATAAAAAATAATAGATAGGCACTTATTTTAACCCCCGGTTATATTAGTTAACGATCATCTATGTAAACGATAATAATTTAACCAGGCATGTCCTTTTTTAGTACTCTGTATTTATTCATTAACAAGAGAGTAGGGCGAAGTACGCCGCTGGTACGCCGTCTTAAACAATGGGTAGATAGTCCCCGTCGTCAGCTCAAGGCGTCCCCCCGTCCCCCCCATGACGAATTGTTACCTGCTCACTCACTTGATATATCGTGCCGTAATTTGTTCGTACAAAAGTAGTCTCTAAAGTCTAAACATCGCTAATAAGATCGATTATGGAGTGAGTTCCATAGTCTCTGCCTACCCCCATTGAAGACAGGCGTGAAGTTATGTATGTATGTATGTATGGAGTGAATGGAGAGCGGTCATTGGTGACCGCTTGGGGATGGAAAAATGGTTTCGGGAGAAAGAAATAACAAACACTTGATTGGTTACATATTATTTATTGAAAAAAGTATACATCAAAAACATTTCGATGTAAAATTAAAAAAAAAGAACGTGTGCGATTTGACATTAGTGAATGAATTCTGCACAGGATTATAGTGTAGTACCAGCCATAGTTGAACCTTAAGACTTGTAATTTCCTTATTTCAATGCATGTAAAGTGTAAATGTTCCTCAGTTTCAGTACGGCTGGCACGTACATCATACATTTGGGTATCGGACACTAGCTAAGTATTTATTTATCATACAGATCTTTACAGCCAAGTGGTAGACAAGTAGAAAAGTTCATTCATAAAACGTGTAAGTTATACTTGTGCAAGATAACGTAAAAATTAGCCTCTGAATAGTATAAATAATGTATATTAAAATTGGCTAATTGTACTTAAGAGTATTGTGCCAGCATACTGCATAGGCCACGCTATACCTGTTGGCTGTAAATTCCACTGTTTCGTCTTTTTATTTTGTTCACCTACTATCAATATTACATATTGTTATTTTCACTTAATACTTACATTTAAAATACATAAATAATACAACTTGATAGTAACCGAAACACCGAATAATTTAATGCATTCAAAGTCTATTTTTGTCAAAATAAACTGATAGCAGCAAGCAGTTAGAACCGAGGCTCGCTACGGGCACAGTTATCATCTAGCCGTTTAAATCCATAATTGAAGGATTAGATTTTTTACACATTTAAAAAATAAACTTACAAACAAGAACAGTTTATTCTGTTTATTAAACAATAGATTTTTGTAATTACGGCCCGTTAAAGAGAAGAATACTTTTGTGCATCATTAAACTTATGAATATAATGAAACATGCCACGTAATATACATAACTATTACACTGTACACAGCAAAACTAATGTACATAGTCACAGAACGAATATCATAAGACGTTAGTGTGTACTTGCCGCTGGGGGGCGCCACCACAGATTATATACCACAACATCTATTCTCGCACATGCCCTAACCCGGTGCATACATAGGTTTTATTACATGCCCAACTTTAGTTTGCGCTTAGATATAAAAGGTATCAAAACTTATTTCTCGATGGAGACCTTTTTACCAACCGAAGGCATTACCTCGGCAACTAGTTTTAGTAAAAAGACCGAGCCTGTTTCCTCACTATGAACCCAAAGCACATAATAACCGGGAACTAAGCCCACAAAGATCACGCGTACGACCAGAGGTACTTATAATCTGTGACGTCACGCCAAGCGCGCCATCTATTACACAGACGGAGTCAACCTATAACATAAATACACTAAATTATAGTCCTAGATAATTTATTTGTTAACTTTTATTTATACATCGGTAGTATAATGGAGCTGCATCTTATTAGTCTGTAGATATGCAAGCAATAATCTTACTGGCAATAAAAATGTTATTTTACAAGGACTTTGGACCTGAAATTATACCACTGATTGTGTTACTTAACTAAGACAGATGCACTGTGCTAGCCAATTAAACGGAAAACACAGGGCGGTGGCGCGTTTCGCTAGTAAACCAGGTACTTGTACGATTCACACAGCAGCTTGTATAGTTTCAACCATGGAGCATGCCGAAACGATTATTTAAATAGTATTTACAAAAAGTGAGCCAATTCTATGAGCTCAGTTTAGCACAGTAGTCCAGCTGCACGTAGTGGTATAGGTGTGTTAGTTTACAAGCAACTGACAATTATTCTGTGTCATACAAATTAGAGGCTGAGACAGCTATCTTGTTATTACCTATCATCGTATTGCTAAATGCATATTTCCCCATTTTGCCATTCTTTTTTTGTAAATACGTGACCAACACAGTTATTGAAAGAACTTATTACGTTGATAATAATAATATATTTATTTACATGATAAATGAAACACTCTAATTTATATAACACATAGATCTAACTAAATACGCTAAGGGTAAACGGTAGACTCGCAACACTGTGGGACATTGATAGGAAGGTCGTGTAGACCACACTCTACAGTAGCGCCTCACTGCGGTGACTTTGTGAACATTTGACAACACATACACTACTACTGCCCGCCACTCCTCAATTACTCTCGAAGGGAACCGGGACAATTCTTTCGTTGATAGAAATAGGACGAGCTTGCTTCTGTTAAAAAATTACAATAAATACATTTTACATCAACAACTGCCATACAGAAGGGCTCGCCCGACTTCTGAGTGAGTCAAGTTACCAAAGTACCAGTATCATCATTATTACATAACGTTCGATACAATATCAGTGAACCCTGCGCCTAGGTTTACTGTCACAAAGTCACACAATCTCATAAATGTATTAACTTCAACAATAACACATACAACGCTACCGTCCAAAAGTAAAATTACGTTAAAGAGGTATAACACTCGTTTTACACTATTAAATGCATTCGTCGAACATTGTACTACTCCTAAAAATCAATGGCCAATGAAAGTGACAAATAATTATATTGTACTCGCTTATTTGATCAATAGACATCTATTAAAATAAATCTTCACATACAATATACATCGAATATAATATAAAACTTTTCATTATATAACGCTAATTGTTCGTGCGCGAGTGTGTATGTATACACACGCACACTACCATATGGTGAATAGTCAAATCCTCTCGATACATACTTCTTATACACTGTACAGGGATTGAATGTTCGTGGACAGACTGCATTTACTTTCCGTTCGTTTTTATTATACGACACTAATACATAAAATTATGAGTTACAAACGACAATTATACCGCGTCTTAAAATATTAAGGGCTGTTGTTTGACAGCCTTCGATAATCACGTTTTCAAAGTTTTTGGAGATTTATATTCTGTGTAAGTGTGTAATATTGTTTCGCCTCTATTAATTAAAATATCGGGAATATGACATACATCTCACAATCCAAATTGGCATATTATATTGTTATACGAGCTTCAAGGGGTAGAAATTACATGATTTAATCTAGTAAGTTATCTTACTAGTAAGGATTCCGTTCCGTTCACTCAATAACTCCAAAACGGAGTCATTGGCTAAATCCTGCAGATATCGACGCAGAATCCAATTTAAGGAGCGCAACAGTGGCTGCGGCTGGGAGCAGAGTGCGAGCTGGCCTGGACCACTACTTGGACCGTTGTACTGGCCTGGACCACTACATGGACCGTTGCACTGGCCTGGACCACTACTTGGACCGTTGTATTGGCTTGGACCACTACTTGGACCGTTGTACTGGCCTGAACCACTACTTGGACCGTTGTACTGGCCTGGACCACTACTTGGACCGTTGTACTGGCCTGGACCACTACTTGGATCGTTGTACTGGCCTGGACCACTACTTGGACCGTTGTACTGGCCTGGACCACTACTTGGACCGTTGTACTGGCCTGGACCACTACTTGGACCGCTGTCCTGGCCTGAACCACTACTTGGACCGTTGTGCTGGCCTGGACCACTACTTGGACCGTTGTACTGGCCTGGACCACTACTTGGACCGTTGTACTGGCCTGGACCACTACTTGGACCGTTGTGCCGGCCCGGACTACCCTACAATGTCATACCAGCCGTGCCTTAGTCGCCGAAGGCGGAGGCGGCGAGGTCCTCCTATCTGCGGCAACGAGCGCGCTTGGTGTGTGACGTATGCCATGACATCTTCTACTAGCTCGCGTGGAGGTGGCTCTTCCAAGTGGTCAGAAATAAAGTAATCATACCATGCCACCACCAGCAATAGGAATGGAACTAACGTTGAAATCGTGGTAGTGGGCGAAAAAGACAATTCTGGTTGAGGTATTGGTTGGTGTATATAAAAAAATTGGGGTGGTGATCTCGGGATAGATTCTGGTGAAGTGGAAGGTGGTCGGGATGTTGACGAAGATCGGGGTGTTGACGAAGATTGGGGTGTTGACGAAGATTGCGGTGTTGACAGAGGTTGTGGTTCTGATGGAAGCCGAGTAGCCGAAGAAGGGCTGTGGGATGAAACAAGTCGGGGTATCGCGTAAGGCCAAGGTATCGAGAGAGGTCTGGGTGCTGAAAGAGGCGGCGTTACAGACGACCGCTTTTTCGGAGGCGACGGCCCGGTGGCAATCTGTGAGAGCTCCGGTGGAGTCGCGCGCCCCGTGGGTGAAGCTGAATCTCAGGCATCCGCGTCAGCACCCTTCAGTCGGAGCCGCGCGAAGTCCTCAAATATTATGTCGTCATCTTGCTCTTGACCGTTCTCGTCGCTGCGGGATAAACAGTTTATATTAGTGACGAAATAAGAAAGCAGAGCAAAATATAATAACATTTTGTAAACTTTGTTAAACATTAGGATTACTTCTAAAGCCATAGCGTTTACAGACACAAACATAGAATAATCAGGATCATAAAAAGATATAATCTGTGCGGGTGGTGCATTATACTTACGGATGTGGATCTAGCTGAATGAGGTCATGGTCTTGTACGCGCGGGGCGTCGGGGGCGGCGCGCGGCTCCTCCTCGGGTTTGGGGTGCATCAGGATGAACGGCAGCTCCGCACTCAAGTCCCTGTAACCAAATTAACCATTTAGATATTCATTTGTACATAATTACTATTGTTTGTGCCGGGTATAGCACGCGATGCGATATATGATACGATATCGCCGGACACGCATCTTATTAAAGACCATGTCGTAGTTCATACATAATTGGGCATCTTAGAGATATAGGGAGTAAGTAGGGTAAACTGAACACAAAGCGAGTGTGACGAGAGCACATATTGGACTAATATATTAGGTAAAAACCAAAAATATAATATTTACCCGCCGAGAGGTCCGAGACATAATTTCACTTTGACTTTATACTGCACTATGATGCCTAAATTTTCTCGTTGCGATGGATCGGCGATGCTGGAAGCAAGAGTGATTTATTTTTATAATGTTTACAACCAGGTTTAAAATATTATTTTATTAATTTCTTATAAAATGTATGTTATTATAAACAGCTGTAGGGTTAAATATTGGTGTTAGTTTCGTTAGTACTCACAGCGTGCTGGATGCGAGGTTGGTGTCCTCGTGTTTGAGCTGTCCGTCGAGTGCGAGGCCCCACTTGTCCTTGTTGTTGGCCAGCAGTGGTGTCACCGTGAACACCTTGCTCAGGGTGAACCCGGGGCCCACTGGACACCCCTCCCTGTGTACAAAATTAGCCTTACAGAATGGGGATATTTCCAACATGTTATAATTCACTTTCAACTATGACTTTTGTCCTATGAAGTATCCTATGACTATGGAATCGATTATTTTAAAATTATTATTGAATATAGAAACATTTGTGTATAATATCTATCGTGAGACGTACATTAGATAATGTTCATGCAGCCTACACGCGTCTCGATACTCGTCCAAATTGTTTCGAGTCCAATCGGAGCCTTTACACGAGTGAATTGCGTGCGCATGTTCTAACAAATTATATTTAATAATGTCACTTCTATACATCGAAGAAAATTTACAAACCAAAACCGTCACCCATCCCACGTGCATTTAATATACAAAGCTATCGAACGTAAAATTATTAATTATTTTTGTTTCTTTCGACTACCCGTTAAAAGTTCGAAATGTGTCAGGTCAGCAAAGGCCATACCAACCTAATCGGTTGTAAAATTTCAGACTAAGTTTCATATATTGTATGGATTCTTATTGGATCAGTGTACGTAGTGTGTGGTCGTGTACGTATGTATGTAACTTATTGATAAGTGTGTTTTTACATGTATGATGTAATTCTTTAATACTCAATAAAAAATCAATGCAGTTCGTTTAGAATAGTTAGTAAAAGTCAATAAATTCACCACAACCGTTAATTTCCTAAGGATTTTTATCGTCTCTATTAATTTGGGGGAATCATGAGCCACTTTATGCATTTTAAAAAACGCACCTTATTTGAAATAAAACTAACCATTGTGTCTTTTTGTAGAAAACGTCTAATTAAGCTCATGCTTATAAGGGATTCACCTTAACAATATTTGGTAGTAACATAATTATTTCACTAGCCTCCTCATTCACTTCCGTAAATACGGTATATAAAGGCGGTTTTTTTGTTCGTGATACCTATGAAAGAATGATAAAATCAAGGCATTCTGTAGTAAGCGAGAGGAGGGGGAGGGGAGGGTCAAACAAGTCATGCATCATACGCACGCTGTACTTACACGGACTGCATAGATACTTTCTTATTGAATATCCCGATAAAGGGGAATTTAAATAGTCTCGCCGACATCGATTTGGGTTCCCTGAATAACAAATGGATATAGCTCAACTCTTTTACTTATAGACATAAAGTCGAAAGTTCCTCGACTTTCAAATTACAAAAATGGGTTTGAATAGTGATAATAGACGTTATGCATATAGAAATATGGAGTATACTCACTCGCTCTCTGTTTCAGCGACGGTGCACTTGTACTGCGCGGTGGAGAAGAGACAGATGTCTGCGAACTGGCGCACGGACACCTTGATACGCTTCACCGACCGGTTGGAATTGTTCGCTATGTGTACGTTCACTGCTATGTTCTCGCCGTGGTGGTATAACTCCTGCACAGGACAACAACATGTTGCTAAGGTATAAGTCAGACCTCATCCGTGTCATCTAAGTCATGAGGCGTTCAAGTGCATTTAAGTGGAAGATTTCACAACGCGCGAGGTTACCTTATCTAGGGAAGCTTCCAGATACAGTTTGTTGGGGCTCATCATAAATTCTTTGGATACTTCGACGGAAGGTTGCTCGCCTTGCTTGCTCGGCGCATACATTATCTTCCTGATAGCTAACCGCACAGAATTCCTGCATGACAAACAATGAAAATATAGAAATTGTTTCCTTCGGGTCAAAGTTTCCTCTACATAAGCCTTTCTATAGTATTTCGAGCGTTGTAACGTCTGAGCGCCGTGCATGCCTGTACTTCAAACACTAAGTTCACCCTAGCGCGGTGAATGCACTTCTCTATCTAGCAAAGCTTAAGGCGTTAGCACAATAACGCTTACCGCTGCGCTTTCGGTGCGAAACGTGATACGTGTTCAAACATTTTGGTCTGCTTCCGCAATGTTTTCGCAGCCGACTGCGTGGGCGTGCTAACGGCGTAAAGTAGAAGAGGTGTGTATCAGCAAACGTGGAGCAACGACTGGGGCACTCAAATACTGTATGTGTCCTCTATCAGGAGCGGGTCTTCTACATACACGTATTGTGGCGGCCGACCTACCTCTTGTGTGGCTTGTCATCCTGGGAGTCTGCGACGAACGCCTTCAGCTCGTAGTCTACCCCGCAAGGCTTGCCTGTCTCGCCGGGCGCGGGCTGCAGGGTGACGGAGGCGGGGCAGTGCGGCGGCAGCTCGAAGTAGAAGGGATGCGCGGCCGCGCCTAGCTTGCGGACCAGCCTCTCCTGCAGCCGCGTCAGAGGCCGCTTTGTTGTGTTCGTCGCTGGGTATATCTGAGTAGCAAAGTGATTTTATAAGTCTATAGATTACAACGACAGCTACTGAAATTACTTGTACACATAAGTTTCCACTTGTACTAAGCACATCTACCCAGTTATCCAGTGTGAACAGTTGATTCCTAGCTGTATTCCCTGGATATCATTAAAGAATACTGATTGAAACGTAACCCAGTATTCAATTTAGATTTAAAATTATATCGAAGTGATCGGTAAATGAAAGCATTCGTTCATGTGCACTACTGTTGATTAGATACTTGATTGCTTATTCAAAATCGTGTGAAGAATCTCTGATAATCTGTTTAGGATGTACCAAATCCTGATTAATTCGAAATGTGATTTTTTGCTTAAAGAGCTTAATGATATGAAGCTGTAGAGTTTGTTTGTTTGTTATTGTATAAACAATAAGTATACGTAAGTATATAAGATATCTTTCGATAGGTAGTTCTTACCTGTTCAGCGGCCAAGTAGAGATCTTTGCGAAAGGTGAGCCCCAGTACATCGAGGTCCTCCCGGCCGTACCTGAACGCGGCCAGTACATGGCCAAACACCTTCCTGTCCTTCACATATTCTGGGTCAATTAGGACTACTCCATCTGAAAATAAAAAACAAAATCACGCCTTCAATTGGTGTATTCAAGGATACGACGACGAAAAACGAGTCCATTGTGATTGTTACACCAACACCGGTTACATAATACAATTTCAGTCGGAGATCTACTAAAATCAATAAAATATTGATTGGTTTAATTAAACTTCACACGATAGTCTATTCCGTGATTTCCGTGAAATAGTGAATCACCACTGTTGTACCTGATTCTGATTACTTATAAGTAGCCGAAGATGACTCAAATGGTCGTATCATTCACAAAAATGTAATCATTTGAGAAAACCTGACACAGTTGATGCTCTAATCTAATCCCACCCATATCGATCGATAACAACTAACCAGGCTAATATTACAATTAGTGATTCGATACAGTGTTGCATTACCATAATTACACGCTTCGCTCCAGATCGTGAGGAACAACCGCTAACTCCAATCGGTGATCGCATATCGTTAGCTCACGGCATGAATATCTGGTACCTTCCGCGCTCATAACTCGATACGAGATGGTGTAACCAGTCATCCGACACTAACAAGAAGGCAGCCAACATCAAACGCCAAGTATAACTAAATACAGGAAAAGTTCTCGGGAAATGTAGTGACGTATATAATCTTGTATTTACCCAATTAGAGTAGCTTTATACGCATTTTGTAAACAGTAGTAAACACTTATTCATAGTAAATTACAATCTTTGCTGAGTGTTGATGTGTTCCATTGAGAAAATGTCGTGATGAATCATTGATAAATAATTGCACGGATCAAACCTGTGTTTATCGTGCAAACAACGTGATATACACTTTGTTAATGTCATACGAGTTTGTGGTTTTATAGCACTTAGATACTTAGTTGTGAATGGAATGAGGTTTGTTAATATTATGTCGCATGCTACCATTAAAGTGCAGCTCATTCTCATCATAAAATTAACAAAGATCATACTAGATGTGATTCTGTAGACACAGGACGTAACTATTCTGCAATATCTGGCCTGTTATATTACTTCCAAGTGGACTGACAACGAACACATCTTGGGTGGGATTGGCAATTTATTATACAAAGATCGTCACCGGCACTCCCTTTACGTCCAGAGCGAAGTTCACAGTAACTCGGTTCAATTGTTTGAATACTCAGCAACTTCGATCAAATTGAACCTTCGGGGTGTTTGTCCTAGATCTAGACCATATATTTTATCTATAGAACTTACCAATCGGGTCTACATGTGTGATGTGGTCTACGAAGTCTCTTTTCCCTAAGTATACGGTAATCTGGAAAGATAAAAATAATCCAATTAATTCTCAAAAGTTGACCTCAAAGGAAGAGCTAATTATTTCGAGTGTTTCGGTTGGCAAACTAAGTAAGATTATGTTAAAAAGAAATATTTCGGAAGTGTCACAAGATTTGGCAAACTTAGAGACTGGCGTCTTGGAATTGGCAAGCAAGCATGGTGCGGTGTTATAAAACGACATATAGAATGTATTTCTTATTATAATCACGTTATGGTAGTCCAGCAACGAAGAAATTATTCGACGAGTTATTACAGTCAACAGGGAGAACAATGTTTGTTCTACAAACATGACTTTTGATGCAATAAAAACAAAAGTCGAATAAATACGTATGCTAGCAGCTAGGTAATAGAATCTGTGGTACCCTGAGGCTAAAGAGCTGGGATTAGCTTCGTGATTCTGATTAAAAAGCGTCCATGAATCGAAGGAACAAAAGATAATGAATGAGAACTTTCTCGGGTACCTTTTAAAATCAACTTGAAGAAATTGAAAAAAATCGTGTCTAATGTTCCCCAAACGGCCATTTCGATTAATTTAAAAGGTAATTGAGTGGTTTATAAAAAAAATGGCTTCAGCTGTCCTTTGTGGAGATTTTTGTAATTTGTAAAAGGTCATTTAAAGCTTAGATATATTGCGACCGAAATCCACTCGCAGGATCCCTTTTATATTAGTTCTGTCAAGGTTAGAACCACGAGAAGTTTTGTATGAATTGTAAAAACATTGAAACTACAAAATGGCAGAACATTAAAACTACAAGATGAAATTCCACATACAGAATAATACAGACATACATTGGACACAGACTCAAATCTAGACCAGTGACTGACAAAGTACACGTTTTGTCTTCGGTTCCCGAAACGTTGGCGCAGTGATCTTTGTTATGGACCGTCAGGGTAAAATTGATTAGGATGAGATTATTTGTCAAACTGGATGGTAAGCTCCCGGGTTTAGGCTTTTCAGCCTCGTATTAGGGGCGAAGAATTGATTTTATAATAACACGGTATGCAGAAATGTATGCTTAGGTACCTTGCCATTTGGCGAGCTCTTCTTGAAGACTCGCGTGGCCTGTCGCTGCTTGTTGCTGCCGGCGTCTTCCATTCTGTCGCCGCGCCCTCCTCAACACTGCAAGAAAAATCAGACAGACTGCTATTGAATAGATCTTGAGGGAGATTAGTAAGTACATCGAATTTATAACTTTGAAATAATATAATAGTAATATGAAAGCTTTATTATTCAACATTATTAATTTATTTCCAATGTAAACATTCGTTATTACATTACAATCCATATTTGGAGAAGGATTTACCTTATCCAATATGACGAGTAATTACTAACGCAGTGACGACACGACTAGTTTCGTCAACACTATGACCACAATAGTGCTGCGAAGTGTGAGAACACCTAATTTAAAGGTCACAACTTATAGCAGGTATTTCTTATGAATGACTTATCAGGAAATTATATTTACATAAGGATAAAAACAATTCAGCTGACCACATTACCAATTTACGTTTGTATTGATGCAGATGATGACTCTTGTTTTGAATGCACTTTACGTAGGTACTCTCGAATTTATTGGATTAGGTTTGGATTGGAGATGCTATCGATAACTGATGATGATAGCATTTAGGAATGTCGAGGGTGACCCTAAGAACAACTACGTTAATTTCATATTCTAACAAAATACTATTGCGTTGTGTTATTAAATAAAAAAAGATAATCTTTAAAACAGGTTTAACGAGCTATCGAATTAGCCAGCAAATTGGATGTAAAACCAATTTCCAATACCGACTTGTATATGTATTAACAGTAATATTTAGTTTAGTTGAAGATATAAACATCTGAGGTTTTGGAGAACCAAGTTAAGGAGCAAAAATTCAGTATTCAGCTAAGATATTTTGGAAGTGTTTATAGCAACCAAGTTTATTGGCTGCTCTTATTAGAGAACTAACTTAGATTTTACTTCGACCAATGGAATATTATTATAATTATGGAGAAGAGCAAAGTGCATGAGTGTCCGGGAAACACTAATGGATCTTCGCTCGTGCTAGCATTAATATAGTGTGTATGAGGATATAATTTTATTATGACTCCACATACACTTTTTGTTACAATATTATTACATTTTCCTTTTCTTTCCAAATATTCTATGGCCGACTATTTAACTGATTCTTAGTATTGTCGTAGTCCGTAGGAAAAACATATTTTTGGCTTTTACAAAACCACAAACTTACTCATTTATTTCAAGTACTTTTTGGTATTAACATAATTACGTGAAAGTTCCTGCAATAAACGGAAAACTGTAAAATAACCAATATAATTATTTGAATTACTTATTATATATAATATATAGAATGGCTACTCATAGTAAAATAACCGATTCAATATAATTAAAAATCAATATAGGTAGCTTGCAGAAGGAAATATGAGAAAATTGTGAATAATGTGGGTAAGCAAAGCAGCGTATTTAACTAGAATGCTATGAGTTCACTGATGTTCCGACGATAATAATTACGTACTTAGTCACAGTCCCGGCAAGTCTTGTTCCCAGTAGTCGAAGTACGTTGGTGGTTGTAATTATAGCTTTAGGCGTCGTTATCATTTAAGAGGATCAGTTTCCTTTGAAGTGCTCCGATCAAGGTTTGTCGGGACGTAATTATCAGTGGGCTATTAGAGAAAATTATTATTGGAAACAACGACGTATTCGAATATTAGTAACATTGCCAGATAAGTATGAGAAAGTACCTAATACGATTACAAAGTTGCGCGAGTATTGTAACAATATCAAAAAGGGACTCTTCTGGGTGGATTTGGGAAGGCTATAGGTAGACATGTTTACAAGTCGTGGTTTGTAAACACCGTAATTAAAGGCCTTTTCTTTGATTTGAAAACTTTTTCTTAAAACGCCACACCCTTGGCAAAGCCATGCCATTAATTAAAGACGAACGAATGATCCGAGTCGTGTCCACTCGTAAACCTTAAGCTTAATGATTGCTAAACAATTTGATGAGTTCTTGGATTTAATCTGTAGTTTTGGTTTAATGACTTAGCGAAACAATTACAATTTCGAGTATTTATTCGTAACATAAACTCATTATCACGTTAGCGAGTTACAAGCATATTAGCACATTACATTGATCTGTTTAGAATTCATCTGATAATTTAACTTGAACATTCGCTGTACGAAATCCACAAGATATCGTATTATTTGATATGACAACAAGACCCCACGGGCCCGTGAGCGCAGACATCTTTAATATCGCGAATTCGCGAATATTTCCCTCCCATACATACAATATGATATTACGTAATGATATCGCGGCAACAAAATTGACTTTGAATAGCATTGAAAACGTACGTGACATGAAAATCTCAATTGTATTTTGTATTTATCACACTTTTAAATATGCGTAAGAATGTGGTGCTACGAAATACATATTTTAGATTTTTCTGTTTTACATAACATAACATCACGCCTTTTATCCCCGAAGGCGTAGGCAGAGGTGCACACAGAAGTGAGCCCCACTTTTCACTATTTATGTTATCAGTCCCATGTAATAGGGGGAGGGGGGTGAGGTTCTCTTTTACATTCGCATAATATTTACTGCTAGACGCTGTGGAAGATGTATATCTAGTACCTAGGTATAGGCCTGCTCGACCGGAGTAATACCACGGCCTCACAGAAAACCGACGTGAAACAACGGTTGCGTTGTGTTTCGTCGTCTGAGTGAAGTTACCGGAGGCCCAATCACCCCCAATGGAGAGTCATTCTCCTCAATCCCCTACCACCTCAATCCTCAAATTCCCAATTTCCAAAAGGCCGGTAACGCACTTGTAACGTCTATGGTGTTTCAGGTGTCCATGGGCGGCACCGATTGCTTAATGCTTACCATCAGGTGATTCGTCAGCTCGTTTATCGGTTCCCCATAAAAAAACCTCGTTATATAAGGCAAAAAGATAACATTAACAAACTAAACGGTAAAAAATATATAGGTGCCGCGGAGAACCGGGTAACCGGGGCTCCGGCTCAAAGTGCAGGAGTAGGAACGGGGTGGTTTTTAGTCAGCAAGAGTCTGACACTTCCTTCCGCATCACCAAGGCGGGAGAAGTCATTCGATGATTTTCCCCCCTTAAAAAAAAATAACAATACATAGGTAGACATAAATACCATTAAAATTACCTGAAATATTGTTGAGTAATTAAGTAAATTATATACGCAAGGAAAATTATTAAGAATTACGAACATAAAATTTACAATTTTCCTTAGTTCGTTGAAATCAAACCGAACTGAAAATTATGCTGAAACTAGGATTTGAATATAAACTGATACAAGTTGACAGACTGGTTGAGCGAATAATTAATGTGTTAGTAGGTTTGGTTCACGCTATTTTGTACGGGATAGGTTTATTATAATAACTACCTAGTAAACTGCATGGAGGTCTCTTCCACCTGCTTATCCGGAAAATTGGAGAATCCTAGTGTACTTCAGCAGTAAACGTCTGGTGGATGATATGATGATAAGGTAAGGTGACACAGGAGCGGACAGTCATTCAAACCTCAACTCAAAGACTTATTGGATACGGTAGTCATAACCGAGAACCCGTTTTGGTCCGTACTCAGTAGTCGCTTATGATCCATAAGATTACGTAAGAGCTAGCTTCTCCACAAGTACATAGGTACTACATAGGATTGTAAGCTAGATATGGACGTACGTACATAGACATCTAGTCCACTAGATCATGTACTTAGAACAGGTGTCGGTATCAGATTCGTTCCCAGACTCATGTTACAAGTATAGTGAGTATCGAGGCGTCGACAAACCACAAGAACGTTACTTTGAGAAACTGTTTATGTTCTGTAAAGGTCTGCATAGACGAGGTACTATATAAAAATAAGTCGGGTTTTCCTCCCTGATGCTATAACTCCAGAATGCACGAACCGATGTCCACGGTTTTGCATGCGTTGGAAAGGTCTCGGGCTCCGTGAGGTTTATAGCCAAGAAAATTCACTAATCACCAAACGAAATGTTACATAAAACGAAGCCATCTGGTGGCGAAACGGAGTTCGCCGGGTTTGCTAGTTCGATATAAATACTTACTATGATACTTTGTATGGTACGCTTACGGTCAGAGGCCTTAGTACGAGTTTGTTTTTCGTTTAAAGTAATCGAAACGAGTACGCGTTCTGCGTTGTGATTGGCCGGCTTCAATAAACCAACCAATCAGAGCGCCGGACGCCGTCTCGTTTCGATTACTTTAAACGTAAAACAAACTCGTACTAAGGCGTCTGATCTCAGAAGAAGTTTAAGAAGAGGTTTGAAGGATCTTCGCCAGTTTTGTAGAATTTCTGTCAATATCTAATAAATATAGAGATTTTCGAATATCGGTTTTTGAAACGACAATTTTCTTTTTGTTTTTGACATAATTAATTTTATACATACATACATAACATCACGCCTTTTATCCCCGAAGGGGTAGGCAGAGGTGCACATTATGCCACTGTACAATTAACACCCACTTTTCACTATTTATATTACGAGTCTATTGCCATATACCGGGCACAATTCCAGACTCCGTGCTACTACTGAGAATTTTTTTAAATCCCAGTAATACTTTGCCCGACCCGGGAATCGAACCCGAGACCCCTTGCCCGGCAGTCGCACTTGCGACCACTCGGTCAACGAGGCAATTAATTTTGATAATTAGATATGCTTTATAAGCACATTGACCCCATTAACAGTTAAGTTCTCAGTGATTTTTTTTTTATAATACTGAGGTTTTTGAAGTGAAAGTCTCTCGTCTACACGTGCCGTTCAGGAGCAGAGTACGTTCATTTCAGACGTTTAACCAAAGTGTTGTTTCATGTACCGTCCGCTTTGTTATTGTAGTTTCACTATTTATTGTATTGCCACTGATATAAAAGGAAATATTTTGTTGATATAACTCTCTTTATTTTATTATGAGTAAATAAACATGTAGATACTTGAAGAACCGTTAATTTTGCTGTTTAATCGATTAAACGCCATACTAATGCTGAAATACTCTAACGCTACTTAATTCTAAGTCGCGCTTAAGTATAGTTCTATCTCTACAAATTCT